AAAATGTTAATTAACTGGCCTGCTCAATCTCCAGATTTGAATCCCATTGAGCATCTTTGGGATCATCTTGAACGTTTGTTACGTAACCATTCGGATCTGCCTAAAAAACTTGCAGATTTAAAAATGCAACTAAAAGAAGAATAGAAAAAAATTCTGCAAGAAACTTACCTAAAATTAATTGATAGTATGCCTCAAAGAATAGAAGCATATATTGCCAATAATGGTTGGCCAACTAGATATTAATATTTTGTTAAAAAAAAAATGACAATAAACTATTTTTTCAAAACTGCACAAATTTATTTACTATTTTTTCAAAACTGCGCAAACTTATTTCCAGATAGTGTATCTTTATCAAATTATAGATTTAGGTTTTATTTACACTATTATTTCCCTTTTATTCTTCTTTCTTACTACCTTCAAATTCATCTTAAATTCTTATTATTTATTTTTCTTTTATTGAACCTTATATATGATCTAATTTCATTTAACATTTTTAATGATTCCATCTTTTTATACACTTTAAATTATCTTTTTTTATCAATCATAATATACAAAAATAATTTTCTTAACTAATGCTCTAATACTTTTTTTAAATAACTTAAAATTACAAAATAATATTCATATGTCACAAAATAATACTCTTATATTAAGATCTTTTTTCAGATAAGCTGATCTACTTTTAAAATCAAATCTACTTTATGTGAATTATACAATCAAAAAAATTAGTATCTCATCAAATATTTTAAATACTGTCTAAAAATTTTTCTCAATTCTGTGATTATCTTTACAAAAAAAATATCTTTCTAAATAAACTATTACTCACTAACATAAATCTTTTAATAATACAACTCATATTTGTAATTTTCTATACAAATACTTTATTTTTAATTATATTTATATGATAAAGATAAAGATCAGCTTTCATTAATTCTTTATATGATATACTATTTAAACAATAAACTATTACTGATAGTTTTTTTATAGAAAATAAAAATAGTTAAAATTTAATATTTATAACTAATTATTCAAATATTTTTTATATTTTCAAATTCTAAAACTTTAAGTTTAATAATTCTTATACCTTTACTAAAATTTTTTTAATATAATAATAAAATTACTCATGTTAAATAAATTATTTGCAATCTGATTAATTTCTTCTTTACTTTAATTAATATAATCAGATAGTTTTGAATAATTAAAATTACCTTTTACAATTTGTAAAAAAAATTTTTAGTTATTTACTATAAATTCAGTTTTTATCTTAAATAAACTAGATATATAAAAAACATTATAGTAATTAAAATATTTTCTTTATCTAATATATTTTTTATAAATTGATAATATCTACTAGTTTTAAGAATTTAAATTATAATATAAATAAGAAATAATATTTTACTCAATAAAATATAACTGATAATTCACAATAATTTCTTATTACAAAATTGAGTATAAAAGCTAAAAATGCAAGATATACAAATATAATTTGCTAATTTATTTATTATTTTTATAATGTAATCTACATGTATTTTATATATTATATAATATATAGTAATTCTTTTTTATATAGATTATTTTTGATCTGATGATTATATTTATTCAAATTTAGTGATTATAATAAAATAACATTTTTAAAGTTTGGTAAAATCTTAATTTAAAAAATTATATTGAATTTAATTTAGTATAATAAGTTTAAAATTTATAAATAATAGAAATAATATATAATATATAAAAAAAAAATTTAATTATATTCTATACAAAATAAAAAATTATTTTATATAACTTTGAATGAAAAAATTAGGTAAAAAAATATTAAAAAAAGTTGAAAAAAATTTATTCTTTATTATTATAAATTTATATTCTTTTCTGTTATTTTATAAAAATATAAAATATCTATTTTTTGATATAATTAATTTTCTAAATGATTTTTTACAAGAGGTATTTTCTTTTAATTCATCTTCTATTCAATTAATATAATACTTCTAATTGATTTAAAAATAAATTTTGCTAAATTTCTAACATATATTAATTTCATAACCTATTAATATTAAAATTTAATATAAACTTAGCTAATTTTTCTTCAACTAAGTCTTAATTTTCTTAATCTTTTAATATAAAATTTTAATTTTTTAGAATAATGATAATATAAATATTTTTAAATATTAATTTTTCTATTAATTTATCAGCAAAAATATGTGACATTTCATTATATATAAAGTTATTATTTTTAAAATTACATAATAAATAATAATTTTATAATATGATTATTAATTATTCTTTAGTTCAAGTAATAAGAGATCTATTTCACAACAAAATTTAGCCAATTTTTATAATTGTGTTAGTATATTATTTAAATTATAAATAATATTTTTAAATGTATAATATTATAAAATAAAATAATATTGATTATGTGTTAAAATGTAACAAATGTATTTAGATAAATAAAATAAACATTTTAATCTTTAAAGTTTAAAAATAAAAGAAATTTAAATTTATGATTAGAAATTGAAAAAGTATTAATATTGTAAGAATTTATAAATAATGATACTTTGTTAACATTTTCTTAGAGATTTAATAAGAATATTATATTTATATTGCTATAATAAATTAATTGAAAAAAAATATATATTATTATAAAATTTAAATCAAAAAGAAAAATTTTTTTTATTTATAAAAACATATACTTAAGAATATATAAAATAAAATATAAATTTTAAAAATATAAAAAATGTTTAACCTTTACTTATAAAGGTAAGCATTTCTATAAATCTTAGATTATAGTATAAATAAAAAACAATATTTCTATTTAATATAAGTATAATTGATAACTTATGATATTTTTCATTATAAAATTGAGTATAAAAAATTGAAAATGTTAAGATTTATGAAGACTAATATAATTTTATAATTAACATAATCTGTAAATTTAATAATAACTTTTTTAACATATTTTATGTATTACAAATTAACATTTCATAAAATTTATAGAAAATATACCTAATATAATTTTAAATAATATATAATAATTTGCAGATTTATATATTAATTAAGTTATTTTTATATATTTAAATTTCTATTATTTGCAATAGATTAGTATTATTATGTAACAATGTTTGTAATAGGTAAAGATGATAATGTAATTAGTTAAAATTATGTGATACTTATTTATTACTGGTTGCAATTAGTCATAACTCAATTTTTATTAATATTGTAACTAGTTGCAATCTTACGATACTTATTTATTATTAATTATAATTAGTTGTAGCATTATTTTTAGTGATAGATAATACAAAATAAAGTGTTAATTTCTTAAAATTTTATATGATAATTTGTTTGATAATTAGCAAAAATATTTAATGTTTAATTATATAAATATATATATTTTTATAGAATTTATTAATTGCAAAAGTATATAGATAAAATATGAATATGTTTAAGATACTCAAAAAGTTACAGACATTAAAAATATATAATATTGTAATAAATTATTAATTTATTTATATAAATTAATTATATAAATAAATATATAATTTTTATATAATTAATATAATTAAAATATTAATATATAATATATAATTATATATTTATTATGTTAATTATATCAGAAATATTAGAAATATTTAAATATGTTAAATTTATAAATTTTTTACATTTTATAAATTATATTATATTTATATATTTATATAATTTTAATATTATTAAATAATTTTTAATATATGTAATCTAATTAACTTAAAATTATATAAATTTATTTATAAAAATAAAGAATAGTATATTTTAAATAATAGGTTAAATTATAATATATTATTAGTTAAAGGTATTTTAAAGTTAGAATAGTATTATATGATTGATATAGTAAGGTATAGTAAATTTATGATATTAAATTAAGTTAAAGATTATTAATATTAGAATATTAAATTAAATCTGAAATTTATTAATATGAAAATACTAATTAAATTAAGCTAAAAATTTATTGATTAAGAGATTATTAAAAGGTTATTATATTAAGTTAAAAAAATATTATTATATTCTAATAATTATAATGATATTTATAATTTTACTTATATATTATATTTTAATTGAATATATTTAAATGTAGTTTAAGTTATTTAATAATTTATATAAATTATAAATATTTAAAATATAATTTTTAAATTAATTTAAAAAAAAAGTAATAATTAAAGTAATAATTAAAGATTAAAAAACTTTTTACTTGATTTATACTTTTAGTTTAAATTATAATTTTTTTATATAAAATTGATAAAAATAAATTATTTAACAAAATGTAATTTATAATATAATAAGAATTAAAATTAACTTTTATTATGCATATTTTTAAATCATAGAACTGTATAAAAAAAAAAAAAATAAAGGAGTAATAAATATATATCTTTAATATTGATAACATAATCATAATTTGAATTATATGAAAATATATTTATATTTATTAACATTAATCTTATCTTATTAATTTATAATTAAATAATATTTCTTTCTTTTTTTTAAAAAATTATATATACATAATTCTTTTTAAAGTTTATATAAGAATTTAATTAAATTTAATTAAAAAACTTATTATTACTTACAAATATATATTTTATAACTTAAACTTAACATTGATACCAAAATTTTTGAACGTTGACTAATTATATATATTTATCGAATTTACACAATTTGCAAAATTTCATTAGAATTAATACATATAGAAATTACGTGTGTACTTAAATGAAATCAAAATCTACAAAGATTTAATAAACAAAAATTGAGTTAAATAAACTAGTTGGGGGAAATTTATGAAAAAAAAAGACACACTTCATAATTAATCATCATAATATATTTAATGTAAAATAATTACCATAAAATTCAACGAGATAATTAAGCTGAATAAGGTATTCATTCTCCTTTTTTGGTAGACTTGTGCTTTCGTTTACTTATTTTTATCTAGACTTACGACGTCGTTTTTCAACAGATTTACCTTTCCCTTCCTCAGAATCCTTAATCGAATCAGCATCATTATCAGAAAGTTCTTGACGACTACGTTTCTCATCATTACCTGGATGCTCGGTTATATTTTCAGGGTCACTAATCGTTGTAATTGGTACGGCCGAAGATGAGGATCCAGCAACGACTTCATTTGAGGGATCGAGTGGTTCATCATTATTATTATTATTATCATTATTGTTGTTATTATTATTATTATTATTATTATTATTATTAACTTTCCGATATCTGGTCTCTTTCCTAATCGGAATTTTAATTCCTTGTTTTGCGAATGCTTTTGACAGTTCAGTTGATTCTATTTATGTATATGGTTAAATGAAAGATATACAGTTATTATAACGATATAAATAGGTTTGAATAACCAGCTTAAAACCAGAAATCATCGACATCTGACCACAAGATTACCTGTCATTCCGGGAAATTTTTTTGCAGAATATACCTTAAAAGGATCACTGTACACTTCAGCTGCGACACTCCCTCGACTATTAGTATATCCATTGAGCGATCTTATTGATTAAAAGAAAAGTTCGAAAAAAATTTTAATTTTTAATTCAGTTAAATCCAACAATCACAAAGTGACACTAAGCATGACAAAACAAGAAATAAAAAAATTTTTTTTAAAAATATCATGCATCTAAGATAACCAACCGGAATTTCATCCATAAATGTAAAGTTCCACCGAACTTTATGCCAATTACCAAATGCCATTTCACAATAAATAGTAATAAAGTAAATTAAAAAAAAATTCTAATAAACAAGCGCTTACCGAACTAACAGACCCTTTACATCACAAAACGAAAATTTTAATGTAAAAGTCCCTTCGGTACGTACGGATAGGTCTTGGAATATGAAATAAATTCCTTGTTGACCCAAGTCATTAGTGAGCACATATGCGGAAGAAGTGCAATGACCCATAAGATTTCGGGTGCATGAAGGAGCGTTTAGTGACATGACGGTAGAACTGGGACCAGTTGATTGTGTGGGGATTGAGGAAGGATTTATTACCAAGCTGCGCTCATCCGTGCAACTTTCGGACCATAAACCAGCATGCACGATCATCATAGAATGATCGACAGAACTAACCAATATTTTTTAGAAAATAAAGTTTCGTGTCAAATCGGATTGACTTAAAAAATAATTCATGTAGTTGAAAAAAAATGATGATGATGGCACGGCTTACGTTATCTTTTTTTTTTTTTTTTAAAAAAAAAGAAATTTGATTTGCTCTAATTAACTCTGAACCATCGAAAAAAATTTTTGAATTCTCTCTTTTGTTTTTCTATTAAGAAAAGTTCTTACCTTTCAGGTATAGGAGTTCCATCGTCAGTAGATACGAGAAGCCTAACAACGGGTGGAGGATCGATTGGACGGCGATCTTTATCTCCAAAACCGCACATTCTCGCTCGAATAGGTTGCTGGGAAACCTCCAATCGGTATCTATATGGAAGAAAAGGGATGTTTATATATGAAAGAAACCTTTGAACGAATTTTATTTACAAGACGTGTAAATGAATTTTTTTGTAGGTTTCGCGATGAACGTGAAAATATTCCAATACCCAAAACTTAATAAACTAAGTGCTACTCCATAGGAAAAAGGAAAAAAGTAGGGTATTTCGACACTTTGTAATATAGTTTTACGGAAAAAAAGGTCATAACGAGAGGTGAAAGAACCAAAGCGAAGACAAGTCATGAAATCCGAAAATTCTACTTATACACTAACATTATTGGTGAGTCTAATAAAGGTTGGGAATGCCGATCGGAACTAATCTCCATAACGATAGTACGTGTTGGTCAATTATCATTTCTTTACTACCGAAGAACAGATTATATTTTTTCCAGAGAAATATCGGCTATGGGTTTAAATATTTTTTAAAGTCGCGCAAACAATGGTTGGGCTAACAAGCTTATTATAAATATGGTAATAAACATCATTATAATAAATATTATTTATATATATAAAATAATAAATAAAATTAGCACATGTAGCAAACACAATGTTACTACTTTATGAAAATTGGTACGAGTTTCTTTGTTAGCTTATTTTGCGAAACAATAGATTTGTAAAAATGTGCTCCTCGATCAAAACATAACGTATTTAGCGTATACTGAGGTACGGCATCATTTCCCCACCAACCATTACCTTTTGATAATTGAAAGACCAAGTAATTTCAAATTAAAAAAAAAAAAAAATCACGAATTAAACCTTTTAATTTTTTTTTTTTTTTTTTTTTTTTTTTTTTATGAGAAAATTTCCCAATAACACAATTAATATTTGGTTGATATGTATTTATTATTGTTGTATATTTGGTATTTTTGAAATTTTAATTTTTTTGTGGTTCAATGCACAATGGCTTAGCCAACTACGGATGATTAATTTTTTTTTTTTTCAATTTTTTTTAATACGCTGTGATGATCGAACCTATGAGGTGAATCGTGTGACGGCATTATTTTTTCCGATCGAACTGGAAAACCTAGGCAATATATCTTATTATGGTAAATTTCAACAATTAGACAATGCATAAGTGCAGTTTTACGTCTTTTATTTAAACATAGTCATACTGTTATACAACACAAAAAATGTAGTCTATCAAATAACTTTAAAGAACCTTTTTTTGGAAAGTTTTGCATTTTAAAAAAATAGAAATGAAATTTTTACGTAATGATTATCGTCACGTGTCGCAACTTTTTTTCTTACAGATGAGATTATTTACCTTGCATTATATGCATCATGTATCATGACGTATTCATTTCATGAAAATCTTACCAAACTTTTTAACGTAACCAACCCAAAATTCGGTCTTTTGTGTACGGTGACAATTCCCAAACCTAATTTTACCTCGTGTATCATCGGCTATTTATAGAACTTGAGAAAAATAATATAAAGTTATGTATACGTGAATTTTGGTTGGTGGTTTGGTTTTTTTTCTCTTTTTTAATAAAAAAAAATACTATCAGGAAATAAAACATTTCGTAATGTCTTACCCTCCTTACCAACGATCGGCTAGAAAGCAACAAATCGATCGGCTCAATGATAACCCTTTTAGATCGTCATCCTCATCAAGTGGTAGCGTTCCTTCAATATTTAAGACGGGGAACTCTCAACCTGGGCTTGGGGATCGGCCTTCTAAAGTAAATATTGTATTATGGCGGTTTAGCATTTCATTGTTTTCCGTACTTGAGCACGCTAATTTTTATGTTTTTTGTTCAACCTTTATCAGAGATCTAGGTTAGATGTGGAGAGTCCGTTTCGTATGTCAAGTCCATCAGTAACTCCTTCTAGGGATACTTTTAATTTTATGCCCGACTTGAGTTCTTTACAAAGTACGTTACAAAATAATTGATCTGATTTATTATTTATTTGTTTATTCATTTACGTATATATATTGATTTTTATTTTTTATGATCTTTTTAGAATCCACTTTAAATTTTACAAGTTTTAGCCAAAAACGTGATCAAGACTTGGTTGAGGCTCGTGCAAAGATTCAATCTCTCGAAATATCAAAAGAGAATTTAGAGTTGAAAGTTGGTAGACTTGAGGCTGAAAACAAAAATATTGAGCTCAGGAACAGAGAACTTATTCTTCAAAATGAGGTTTTTTTTCTTTCTTTTTTTTTAAAATAAAAAAATTGCAAATTATTGTAGTTTGTTATATTCTTAAAGATTTTCATTTTCATTAGGGATTAACAAGAGATAATGACTTTTATAACAATCGAGAGAAAGAGGCATTGAAAAGTTTGGGAGATTTGGAACACGAGAATAATTTATTGAAAGTTAGTTTTATTAATAAATATATCTCGTTGAAATTTATTACCAATGTTTTTTTATAAATTATCCTTTATCTCACACACATTTATATAATAAATCAATCATTAGCAAGAAGCTGTTCGTGCATCTCAAACACTTGAAGATGAAATTCGGGAATTACAACAGAATTTGACTGAACTTAAATCCGAAAGTCAGATTAAAGAAAATGACTTGGCGCGTAAACTTTTGAATTCTGAATCAGAAGCATCGAAACTTCAACATCAGATCGATAATCTAAATGAACAGGTACATTATATTTTTTATATGTTTTGGACTTTGAGAGTGTTGCTTAATGCTAATTCTTCCATTTTAAAAATTGAGATTAGATTCGCCAACAACATGATATATCTGCTTCCAGGAAAAAACAATTGGACGAAACTCAGCAACGATTGGAAGAAACACAAGAAAAGCTAAACGAGTTTAGCATGTTATCTGATCAATTAGATCAAATTGAAACTCTTAATAAGAAAATTCAAGGTGTTCGATCAAGTAAATTTTTAGTTGACATTTTAAAACAAATCAAAGTATTAACGGAATAATTTCTAACTATTAGATCAGTCAAACCTTATTCAAGAACTTGAATCAAGAAATCGAGACCTAACAAGGGAAATTAGGCACAATAAACAATTGTCTCCTAGCATTCAAATTTTACAACATAAACTAGAAAAGGCGGAAGTTCAACTTACACAAATGAGTAAACTTCGCCGAGAAACTGCTGAATTGGAAGTTGAAAACGCAATGTTAAAAAAGGAACATGTTTCTTGGTACTTGTAAATTTTATTATTCGTAGTTTGTGTTATCCTTAAAGCATTCATTTGCTTTCAAATTATTTATTGTATTATTTTATTTAATATTTTTTTTTTTTTTTAAAAAAAAAAAATGATTGTAGGGTGTCTCTTCTTGACCGAGAAGGTGATAGCATTAATAGCGATACTCCATATAATGTTGTAAATGAGCTCATTTCTAGGCGAAATGAAATAGAACTCTTAAAGGTAAAAATCAGTTCTTTGGAAGAAAAGGTCAAGAATAAAGACTTTGTAATTATTGATTATGAGTCTAAAGTAAGTATATTAAGATATTGCAAATGACTTTTAACGTTAATTTTTAAAAAAAAATTTTTTTTTGATTCAGGATCAATTTTTCTTCACATGTTAGATTAAAAAATTAAACTACAAATGCCAAGCCATTGAAAATAAATTTTTGAATGAGATAGAAGCATCCAAAGGAAGTAAGGAGCTTCTTCAAGTTGAAGTTGAAATGTTGAGGAGTTCTTTGGTAAGTGAAACTGATTTTTTGTTAAAAAGAAAATATTGTAACAAATATTTATAAAAATAAAATGTTTAGAAATCTTATGATGAGGAAGAAAAACATTTGCAATCGAACTTCGATGTCCAAAAAATGGAGAGAATTCAGAATTTGGAAAATTTGCTTGCAGAATATAAAACAAATCTCGAACAATCCGAAATGAGAGCAATTGTTGCTCAGCAGCAAAGACATGAAGAATTTAAATATCCGGAAACTTTAGAGTTAGACCTTCATTCATTCGAGGTGATGCGAATTAATGAAGTATTAACTAATGGTATTTATTATCTGATTTGTTTAATAAAAATGTCTCAGTCAATACGTGATCGGAACTTTTTTTTTTTCCACTGACAAATATAAATTCGTTGATTTGCATATAGAAATCTTTGAACTTGAGTATGACAAAGCAAATATGCACAAAGAAATGGCGTCTTTGCAAAATCAAATGAATATTTATGAAGAATTTGATTTAAAAGTTCGTTCCTCCGAGTTAATTAAGCAGAATGAGGTTCTACAAGAAAGTAAGACTTCCTTTAATTATTTTAGGACCTTATATTTTTATGTTTCTAACGTAAATTCGTTTTGATTAGCCGCAAAAGAGCTCGATGATGATAATAAATCTTTGAGAGTAGGAATCGTTACATTAGATAATCAATTCGATATTCTTGACAAGGAATTGAATGCAGGTGAATATTTTTATTATTTATTAATTTTTTTATTTTTTAATAGGATCTTTGTATCTTTATGCTTTCGTTTTGTTTAGATTTAAAACGGCTCAGTAAAGAAAACGCATTTTTGAGAAAGGAATTCTTTTCATTAAATAATAAAATCGATGCTCTTGAGAAGGAATTGGGTAGAGGTGAATGCGATTGGGCAACAACCCGAGTATGTGATTCATTTATTCATTTTTTTTTTTTTCCTCGCATTAACCTAAAAGGCTGTCCAGTTCTTAATAAGTGCTTGTATTTTTATCAGGTATTGGAGATAAAAGATAATCCTGCTTCAAAGGAAATTTCTTTACGCGAAAATAAACTGCAGGGATTAATCACGGAAAATCAAGAATTGAAAGATAAACTTAAAGAATTACTTCAGATTCTTGAACATCAACCCAACACTATGTTAGGATCAAATGGAGATAATGACCAACAAAACGAATTGAGAATTATTCCAATTCAAAGTTATTTGAATTTAGAAGAAGAAAATAAGCAACTTAAATGTCAAGTCGCAGATAAGGAAAAGAGAATGACAAGACTTAAAGAAGTGTGTAGAATCGATCAATTATTAATGGTAACTTTGACACTTTACTAATTTTTTTTATCCGTTCTCTGCTTAAAATAGGTTTGGACAGATAAAGCCCAAGAATATAAGGAAGCTGTTTATAATCTTCTTGGTTATAAGCTAGAATTTCTTGAAAACAGTCGCGTTCGTTTAACTTCTATATACTCGGAACAAAACGATCATTCATTCGTTTTTTCCTCTGATAATGAAAGTGGTACCATGCAACTTATTAATGGTGGAAATACCGAATACATAAAAAGTCAAGATAACTTGATCAAATATTGGGTCGTGGAACGTGATTCTATTCCTTGCTTTTTAAGCAGTTTAACTTTAAGGCTATTTGAACAAAAGAAGTTAGAACCGATTAATGGAGAGGTGGAAACGTTAGCGGGTTAGACTTTTCGGTGTTCGATAATTATTTAATGATTTTTTTTTTTTTCTTGCTGTAATAAAGAGTAAGTAAGGATTTTGACTTCTGGTTTAGTTTCCTAACATGGAAATTTATATCAATCTTCGATTCTATATAAAGAAAACCAATAGTCGATCGATCAATTATTTATAACGATAGAGGAATTTCTAAATTAAAATTAATAAAAACGAAATTTTTTAGAAAAAGCATAATGGTCAAATGTCATGATGATATATGTTCTCAAAAACAGAGAACACCCAAATCACCAAATACTTGCAAGGGAATTACGCATGTCGGTCAACCTTGTAAAGTTTCTGTGGTGTCTGACACGTATTGTCATCATCATAAAGAACAAAGAACTGGGGAAAACATATATGGTATACCAATGCAACGAAAAAAGAATTCGTCTAATGATAATGATGGAATAGATGAACTAGATTATGAGATGCGATCTCTATCGTTAAATAAAAGCCCATCAACACGAAATGATTCAAAAACAAAGAATAATGTAATTGGCTCAACTTATATCACAATAAACCACAAAAATAAAAATTATCAGATTTCGGGAGAGAAGGAATCAATAACTTCACAAACAAAGAAAAAAGTTCTTACAAGTACTAAATGGGAGCAAACAGACACTCATAATAAATTGCAAACACCACAGCGTGGAGATGACAATTTCGAGACAGCAAATAAAGGATTTCCGACTTTAACGTTATCATTTAATGCAAGTCCGCTAGAATCTTTAATTGAAAAGCACAGTGCTAGACAACAAATAACGTATAAAGAATTATGCGAGGTATTGGAAACACCTTATCAATCGCCAATAAGGAATGTTCCAGATATAAAATCACCTATGACGCCGACGACACCGACAAGAACAAGCAAGCGTTCGTCGTGTATAAATGAGTCAAATGAATCGATAACTGATAATCAAAATATGACACATACTGATTTAACTAATTATGATCGTAGCTCATCACCCACTTCCTCGTTACAAAATAAAACTGTCAAATTAGTTAATCAAAAAATCCAAGCTTCGGAAGAGATTGTTAACATTGAGGAGGAGTTGGAAAAGACCATATACGTTCCTGGTAAGGCGATATTAAAATGGATTCGTTTTGGAGGTAATTATACAACCAATTTCAACATATTTTCATGTTTCGTGTTTTTTTCCCCCTCCTTTGATAACATTGGTTTTTTAAAAGAGTGGATAAAACAAGATCTTTCCCCGGAAACAAGGCGTTCATTAAAATCCGAAATGGAGAAGCCAATAGCTGATAAAGATGAACCTGGTTTCATCTACGCATATAGATTGCTTGAAGGTAATAAATATATATATATATGTATCATTTGAGGTAATAGATATTTTTAATTTAACTCATTTATGTTAAATAGGACCCAATTCCGAGGAGATGGATAAATACACATTCTATAAAGTCGGTAGAACTTCGAATGTACATCGGAGGCTTTACCAATGGGCCAAAAGATGTGGATACAAGCCCAAGTTAATCGAAGAATTCCCATCTTCAAAGGATAGTGAAGGGGGGGAAGGTTCACGCATAAACGTTGAAAGAACAAAATGCAAGTATACGCATAGAGCCGAAAGGCTCATTCACATTGAATTGACCGCGCGATTCAAAGCCGATGTCGAAAAATGCGAGTCCTGTGGGCGCTCACACAGGGAATGGTTTAAAGCTTCATCGGACGTAAACGATGAATTTGTGTTGCATAGATGGGATGATGTCCGAGAAGTAATAACCCATTGGATAACCTTTGTTGAAAAGGTTTATGGTACCGGATAAAATGATTATCTTTATATCATTATTGTATTTATTGTATTTATCATGTGAACAACCCAAAATGAGTTATTACCTGTAAATTAGAAACCGTTTGAAATTTTGTCGAATTAATTGGATTAATTCGAATTTTCTTGTACTTAGATAATAACTGTTTATGATTATATTTATTTAATATTTATTTGTATTTTTGTATTTGTAAGTTTCAAGAATAAAAGAAGGATTAAAGTTTTCTTGTACATAATTGGGGTATAGTAAGAATTACAATATTAATGTAATGATGATACCATATTACATTGTCTGATGAAACTTTTAAGATATTCAGATGTCCGATTATGAAAGATAAACCCCAAAAAGAATTTTTTTTTTTTGTCAGAAAGTAGTGTCACACCCACGTTTGTTGATCCGACATTTGTCATTGCCGCAGTATTAAATTCATAAAAAAAGTGGGGCACAATTTTATAATCGGAAAGAAAATCTCATTCAAGTTTGGGAACCGATGATGTCAAGAACTACTCAAAAAGAATTTATGCAAGGGAGAACCAGATAAAGTAATCCACGTTTCAATCCATCCGCAGGAATAAATAAATGCTTTACAGGGGAGGGGGGCTTACAAAAGTGGCTGTTGAGGAAAATAACTGATTAGCAAGATGTGCGAAGCATTAGGAATTGCGGGAAAATCTAATTCAACAAACTGAAGGTTTATTAATTACAAAGATTATTTTCACTTCTCATCAATGCGTAAGAATAAAAAAAGAACAAAAAAAAATGATATAAATTTTTTTTGATCTAAGCCTCTCTGCAAATCGTCGATAAATCGGTACATGGACCCTGCTTTGATATCAAGGGTATTTTTTTTTTTTTATTATATAATTATAATTTATATAAAGTTCAAAAGATTGAAGATCACTGAACAGTGAACCGTCGATCATTAAAAAATTGGAAAGAAAAAAAAAAAAATACATATATTCCCAAACTTATGTTTATTTAAAAAATGCATTTTTTTTTTTTCTTTTCCATTTTTTCCGTTGTATTGTCCCCTTTTTATCCCCCATTTTCTTGTGTGTGTGATTTTATTTCGAGAAGGGATAGTCCTTCCAAATGGGGTAGTATTAAAAATATATCAAATCTATGATTGGTTTGTTTCATTTACATCGCGACTCTGGGTGATAAAATTGGGTTTCAAAGGTTCCTATACTTCGTAATCTCATTCTGATTTTTATAACTCCCTTTGGGTTATATAAAAAATCAAGGGAGGGTCACAGAGTGTAACTGCGTCAGTTTATTTATGTGTGGTCGTTTATCTATTTCTTTTATATAAATATTTCATTTAAATATGTCACGAACGCGTTTTTTTATGAATTTTGGGGGCTGTTTTCCGTATAATCTCTACATCTAAATTTATATCATAGAAATGGGAAAGTCAACAGTCCAAAAATTCTAGACTGAATGCGCCACTTTGTATTTTAGCATTGAGCCTCCTTTTCAATCTGGTTTCAATTTCTCATTCTCACTTTCCCATCCTCTTTTCTTCCAATTCTTGACTCTTCTGATCCTATAGAATAATAAAATATATATATTTGTCTCATCTGTAAATAGTAAACCTTGAACTTTATTTATACATACATTTGTATAGATTTTATCTATACTATTTTAATCTATGAAAAAAAAAAAAAAAAAAATAACAATAGATATATATATAAAAAAAATTTTTTTTTAATTAAGATATATTTATTTTTTTATTTTTTTTTTATTTTATTTATTCTTATTTTATTCAATTGTTAACAATTAAACAATTAGACCAAAAAAAAAAAAAAATCAACTGCTGCGTTTTGATTGGTAGTAATTTTTTTTATAAACAGGGTCTATTCTTTCTTGCTGAGCTACCGGCTGCCATTCCATTTTTTCGATCAGGTAGAAGCACTTTCTCGCTCTCTTTTTTTTTCTTTTCTTTTCTTTTTTTTTTTTTTTTTTTTTTTCAAATCAACGATTTAAAAAAGTTTTTCATTTTCAAGGTTTTACTTGTTTTATAATTTGTTCTCTTTATGCGATAACAATAGTAACCTGATACAGTTTCGTTTGTTGAAATTCTCTTCGACTTTTAGCGACGACCTGTAACGTGTTCACGAACTACGTAAAATTTTTTTTACGTCGCAGCCTCACTTATCAAAAAAAAAATCTTTTAACGAATTAACGATTATTGACGTGTCGCGCTGATACGACCAATTATTTCTTTTACGACCTTTACGTTTAATATCAAATATTTTGGTTTGTGTTTGTGTTTTTTTTTTCTTTCTACTTTGATGAAAAAAAAAATATTTAAAAATACTTGACCCCTTTTTCTTTTGTTTAATAAAAAAAATTGTTACAACACGTTTTCAGATAACAGGTAAAACTCCCCACCCCTACTCTCTCTCCCCTCCACACCTTTGATTCTACCTTTGACTAAAACATTAGTGTGTGAATCTGTAATAAAAGGCGACATAATGTTACCCGTAGCCACACCGCACATACATTCAAGTTACGGTGGTTTCCCACATTTTGGATCAGCAGGAGGATATCCTCCACACACGTAAGTGTTTTTTTTTTATTTTCTTTGCGACCCGAACCGTATCCCATTTCAAATATCACACGAGCTATTCCAACATAAGCGTCATTTTAGTGATATATGAAATTGTGACAATGTCGAGTTTGCGCAACAGGTTTATCTTGTTTATTTATAGCATATGTGATAAAGATTGAATTCTTTATTATTTTCTGGTTTGTTATCTAGTATCAGATATCATCCAGAAACTTATTCTCCGTCAACATAGTTAGTACAATTTTATCTCTGTTAATTGATAAATACTTGATACGAATTAATAAATCAATCAATCGATCAAATTATTTAAAAAAACAACAGTCCGACATCGCCACCAAATAGTGCCTACAAAACCGGAGGTATTCAAAATTCTCAACTGTTGAGCCATGGTCAATTAATGCCAACCACCACACTTCCACCCGTAAATTCCGTCCCTGTTTCATCACAACCGGATCTTAGTCCAATCAATTCTCCGCTTAACTGTAGTAATAACGGTGCCAATGGTTATCATATACCGCATCACATTCAGCACCCTAATAATACTACTCCAAGTCCTTCTTATCACAATTCATCACACCTTGAACAAGGTCAACAATCTCCGGATCATGATTATAGTAGTTCCGCTACTCCTGTTAGCATTCCCTCTCCGCCTGAAAGTATTCCCTCTCACCAATCTTCGTCGTGAGTAATTAACAATCTATTGTCAATGTATTTATTATATGATCATTCTCCTAATTTGTTCTTTTGATCCGATCATATTTGTGTAGAAACTTGCGGTTTGAAATTCTTCTCGAGGCACCTACCGCCTCTGCACAACGTATTGACGAATCTCCTGTAACTTATCTTAATAAGGGTCAATATTATGCGATTGGAATACAAGATCATGATAAGTATGATACCGAATATACCACAGTTTTCAAAGTAATGTTTCATGATGATACCCATCGCAAAATTGCTTCTACTTATTGGGGTTATTGGTTGACGCAACAAACGTCCCCTAAAAATTCCCGGGCCGTTGAGATTGGTAAGTAAATATTTGGAAAAATTCTGGTAATAATAATTCAAAAAAATGAACCCGCATGATTCTTTCCTAAAAGATAAAGCCGCCTCCTCCGGGATCAGTAACGTGGAGATAAAGGCCTTTGATCGCGTACAAGTCCAATGGAATGGAAAGAAGGGCGCAAAAATTTTTGTACGTTTCAACTGCCTTTCTACAGATTTTTCTCGAATAAAAGGCGTTAAGGGTATCCCACTAAGAATTCACGCAGAGACCAAGTGCGACAATGGTGCGATCTGTACATCTCTTGAAAAATCCTACGCCAAAATTAAGCTATTTAGAGATAAGGTAAAGGGTTATTTAAAAAATACAATTATCTATCCCAAATTAATTTTCTAATCATTGTGTGATTTTTTTTCGCTTAGGGTGCTGAGCGTAAAAACAAGGATGATCAAAAACATTTAGAAAAAATGTGCGAGAAGATGAGAGGTATTATAAATAAAATCACGGATTTTTTTATTTTAATTGTTTAACGTTCATAAATTAAATGAGTGTTTAATATGTTCAAGCCAAATCACAAGAAACCACTCCAATGATAATGATGTATGCGCCACCGAGCAATATAACCGTATTTAACGAATATACTGGAAATGACGCGCCTAACGATGATGAAATTTTAAGTCTTTCCGAAACTTTAAATAATCTTGACCCGGAGGTGGAAGGTAGTGATTTAATGACATTTCAATTGGGAAAACGCAAGAGATTTTCATTGGGACCTGATTTCTTGGAACCTTTGGATTGCGACCCTACTTACATTCCACACTTAAGAAAACGTCGTGCGGGTATTTAAAATATATCAATTGGGAATTGTTAATCTTGTTTTGTATTACATATTTACACTTATATATTCCTTTTTTTTTTAGTTCTCTGCATTTACGTTAAATTGCCGGGTGAATCTGTATATCGCGCTGTTTACCTAAATCAACTTACTGTCCAAGATCTCATTTCAAAACTTACTGAAAAACTCTCCGAGAAAATTAATCTCCAAGGCCAACAAATCACAAATGTGGTTAGATGCACCAAACGTAACCTTACCGTTCGTTTTGACGACGATTCAGTTCACCAAATCGAAGATGAAACGGATATGGATGTCGAATTTCATCGGATTGGACAGGATGGAAACGTGCAATTAACGTTAAAATATTAAGGCAAAGCAGCGAGTGATAACTTGTTTTATCAATGAATTAACGGACGTCATTATTATTTTATTAAATATATAAATATTTATAAAATCAAAAAGAAAAAAAAAAACAACAAAAAAAAACCAAAAAAGAAATATTTAAAAGTTCTCAAATTGGAATTTTTCTTCATAATTATGTAAATACTTTACTTTTCTTTTTCAAGTGCAGGTGTGAAAACTAAAAAAAATTTTCATTATTTCATAACCATAAAAGTATATTTAAAAAAAAAAATTCGGATTTAATGTTGGTTATCGCAAACAATCAATCTTTTTTTTGGGTTTTGGGTTTAAGCTTTTTTTTTTGCTGATTCACTTTTCATTTTCTTGTAAATATTTTTTTTCTTTTTTTTCCTAATTTTCTAAAAAGCAAAAAAAAATAAAAATAAATAAACTAAAAATTTTTGGGGATTTTAATTTTTTTTGATCAAAAAACCGGCAAGATAAAGTGTGGCGAAAATCAAACATGACTTAATATGAATTGAAAAAAGTATTCCATCAAGTTTAACCTTATTTATTTGTTTATTTATATGGGATTATTTTGATTTACTGATTTACACATTTTAAAAAAAAAAAATTCTTAATTAAATTATGGTGATATTCATTGATGATTTTTGTCAAAAGTGGAGGGATTTTGGTAGACAAATTGCTTCAGGACACTTATTACAAGTTTGTGGAGTTTGGTAACAACGATAATTTTTCTGACATGGAGGACATTCAGGAATAGATTGCGTGCAAATTATACAATCTAGTGTCATAATAATAATAATAATAAATAAAAAAAGTATTTTTATTATTATTATTAATATTTATTTATTTATTTGGTACCTTCGTGATTTTTGACGCATTTAGCAGTTCCACATGAATGACAATCAGGTTCCTCTATCACGCACTCTTCATCTTTGCCACACTTTGGACAAATAGGATAAGTAAAGCATTTGATACAATTATCATCTGTCCATCTTTTTTTATCTAATAAAAATCATGAGATTATTTTTTTTTTTTTTTTTTTTTGTTTAGTTGGAAATATTTTTTTGATTGAATAAGAAAAAGGAAAAAAAGGAGGCGCTTTTTGGAGTCACAACTCTACCTTCTATCTGTTTACAGTACCCTTTTGGACACGAGTTACAGTCTCCCTTGGTCGGATAACATTCTTTTCCTTTTTCACAAGGAGGATCACAATCAATGTATAACGGACATACAACACATTTTGGAGCTTTTTTGTTAAAAATAAAAAAAAAAAGTAAACAAAAAAAAAAAAAAAATAGGGTTTTAAATTTTTTTTTTTTTTGTTTTTTTTAATAAAATGGAAAACTTTTTTTTTGAAACCAATTTAATCCAAATTTTTATGGCTTATTTACCAGAGTTGCTTGTTACTATCAAAAATATTGAGATAAACCCGATACAGGTTAAGAAAAAATAGAATTTAGACATTTGATATTTTTTTGAAATATTTTGGTGAATAGAACGGGAAAATCAAAAAAGATTACGGTAAAAAGAAAACCTCTTTATATAATTATCAACATAAATTTAAACGTAAGGTTTAAGGCGCAAAACGTCATGAACGGTAAAACAACAATTAAATATATATTAAACAAAAGAGGAAATTGTATTCAGAATTTGGGAATAACTTTTAAAGGGCATCTTTTCAATCCCCTTATTGTATGATTTGATAGAAATCCAATGATAGTAAAAATCCATAATTATGTGGCTACAAACAAAATTGTATTATTTTATTTATTTTAAACATAAAAAAAAATAAATAATAAATAGGACGGCTCATGAGGTATCATCGTCGTCACTGTCATCGCTATATACAAGTAAAGATAACAAAGGGTTCAAGGGTTTACTATTATTAGTCGTTTCTATCGAGTCTTTCCCTTCAACAAAAGTTCTTTCTGATGATTCTTCTTTCGAAATCTCTGGATCATTTGATTCTTTAATTTTAATTCGTTTAATTTCTCTAGCCTGTTCATTATCATCAGAATCATGTGGTTCTCGCTTGACAGTATGAGATGATTGTTCTATAATAATAGGCGATAATACTAATTCTTGTTCATTAGTTGATGATGGAGGTTCATGTTTAGTGGCAAGTGATGATCTTTCTTGCTTGATTGTTACCGGTAACGGTTTACTGCGCGTTGATTTGGCGGTTTTCTTCACCGCATTCGCTAATATCTTTCGTTGTGAATCATGTTTTTGAGTATTTTTTACCAGTGCTGGAGCCGGTTCATATACAATGGGTTTTGAAATTGCAATTGCAGCCTTATCAGCTTCAGCTGCAGCTCTAATTATTTAAAACCATGGGAAAAAAAAAATAAGAAATTCTCAGACGTGCAATAAATATATATACATTTATCGCTTTTTTTTTTTTCAAATAAAGTAAATTCAATGAATACAAACTGCCTAAAATTTTCGAGTTCTGCCTCATCTTTTTTCATCTTTTCTAATTCTTTAACACGTTCGTCACTCTCTACCGTCGCCAAGAATTCTATCTCATCCTCGTCCAGCCTATGAATTAAATTACCTGCAATTGTTTTAAGCTACTTTAAATCAATTCCTCAAAAGGTAAAATTCACATAGATTGATCACATACTGTATCTATTCATCTCTTGAAACGATTCCTCCTTTTTCATTTTTTGTTCTTGTAACCTCTCGTATAATGTTCGAGGATCATAATCCTCCTCAATAGGAGGAGGTTCTAAGATAACATGAAGGATTTCATTTGTGTCAAAAAATAAATTGGATGATGGAATAAACTTTTTTCTTGAAAGTTCCAAATTTGACAATTACTTTCGTTTATTCTTTCAAAAGCTTTCTTCCATTCTTCTTCCCTCTTAAGCCTAGCTTCTTCTACTTCCTTTGATGAAATAAATTTACTTTCCATTATTATTATTATTTTATTATTATTTTTTTTAACGCGAAAAGGGGTGGTTGGCTTTGTTTGATGATGATCTACGGTAGAATCTAAGATAATAACCATAGCACAACCACGTCGCACAGATCTCTTTTTTTTTTTTTTTTTGAATTATTGTTATATTTTTTATTATAATTATTGAAAATAAAATAGAATCATGTCGCGAGCGATTCGTAGCGTTTTTCAGAGTCCTTTAATAATAAATCATACAACCCTACAGACAAGAATCCTTCGTAATTATCAAACGGAAAAATTATCCAAAGGAGAAAAGTATCTCTTTGATAAGTTACATTCGAAATTTAAACCTACTCGATTACACGTGGAAGACATATCAGGTGAGCAAATAATTTGTTCACACTGAATATAATTGCATGTTCTTTTGATCTTATGAGCCTCACTTAAATTATTATCATTAAGGAGGATGCGGATCAATGTACGCAATCGAAATTTCTTCAGAAACGTTTAAGGGACTCTCTGTGATTAAACAGCATCGAATGGTCAATGAAATACTCCAAGATGATATTAAGAAAATGCACGGAATACGAGTAATTATTAATAAGAATTTTTGTTATTATTTTATTATTTTATTTAAAATTTTTTTTTTTACATAATCTTCTCTAGCTTAAGACTTCAGCAGATTAGAATGATATTAGAATTTAGCATCATTCTAGAGGTAACTTTTTTAAAAATTTCTATCGTATAAACTTAATCTATATACAAAGAAAAAGAAAAACAAATTTTTTTTTTTCTTTTTTTTCGTTCCCAAATCAAATCAAATTGAATTTTTTTTTTTTTTTTAAAAAAAAAAGAGGGAAAATAAAATTATGTTATAAATAATTATTTTAATCCACATACCAAAATTGAATCAAATTTTTTTACTGATTAAGTTTATTCGTCAGGTAATTATCATTTGAGATGGTCTTTTGCAATGATGACCAAATCCGATTCGCAACTTTTAACGCAAATCCGGCTGTTACCCAAATACCACCAACGAGTCCACTTAATCTTACCAAAAATGTGACAAAACTTGAGCCATTTTCGATGATTCGCACAGAAATTGGTTCAATATCATATTTGAAGAAGATTCCTTTGATAATTAGGATATAAGTAAGTAAAAGTTAGTTCGAGAAATGATGATGTTGTAACCGAAATTAACAAGCAAATTTCGAACCTGGAACACCGATTCCTCCTTTTGATGAATCAATGATACGAGAATATTCCGTAACTGAATATTGATTAGTTAACAAAACTTGATTACTATTATCTATGTATGTCGTCGGGACCTATATTTCAGGAAAATATATATGAATAATTTGCGGTATGAAACATAATAAAACCTTTCTTGTACAACTTACGACTGACAAAAAATACATAAAAGCTTCCACATCTAGATTTAAAACAAATTAATTGAATTAAATGAAAACGATATTCTTACAAATACGAAATTTTTTTTTTAAAAAAAAAAAGAAAAACATACGAGCTTCGGCAATCTCGAAACTATTATCAAGTGGATTTATTAGGTGCGGATAAAGAGTTCCAAATGAGAATTCATCAATTCTATGTGTGAAATTCATTTCTATGCAAATTATTAATTAAATTAGATCAATATTTTTAATTTTGTAAATTGCAAAGAATAAATGTTGCATACCTTCATCAGCCGTATTATAAAATCCATATCCATATCCATGGCCAAGTGCGGTAATATGCAAATTACCGGTGACTTTATTGACATCTAAATATCCAAAAATCCTGCATGCTGTCTTTGTATCCCCTACAAAAGAAATTTTTACATGAAAATGGATACTGATCGGGAACTGCTTTGGAATTTAAATAGTTACCATTGGCATCATCGTTCTCAGGAATTGGGTTGAAATTTGAGGCAGCTTTCACCATTTGTCTAAAATCTAATCGTGAACTATAATTATCACTAAACGTGGGAAGTGAATTCATTGGTAAATAAATTTACCTGGTTACAATAAACAAAATGGTTAATTGAAAGAAAATAATTAGTTACCTTAACAAATGAGCGGATCTGACTTCAAAGGTCGTCTAAAAAAAATTAAACTCGCGTGATTAAACGACAACCTCTTGTACATTCAAATTCAATATATTTTATATACCGGTATTTTCTCCAGTTCGGTTGTCATGTGCAGTCGCTCTCCAGCAACATCTACCACGTCTACCGTCAAATCTGATAAAACGGTACATTTTTAGTTTTGTGAGGTTAAATCAAAAAGTAAATTTAATCATTAAGGTTAACTCACAAGGGCATTGAGTATTTACTGTAATATCAACGTTAATCTGTAATTCGTGGTTTATACTTTGATCTACCACAAAGTCATATTTTTGATCGAGATACCAGTACTCTCTGAATTCAC